TTGAAGAAAGACATTTAGCTTTGTGTGTGTGTATGTGCGTGTGTGTATGTTGAACCTTTCTAAAATGTAGTTGTCTCAATATGTAATTCCCAGAGTAGTTTCACAAACAGGGAAAATTAGAGGTCATTAAGTGAGCACTTCCTAAACTCTACTAAAAATGACTCTGATAACACAGGTCCTTTAGCAATCCTTGCTTCTGTATCAGTCTGAAGCTGATCTATCCAGCCCTGAAAGGCATCCACTTCTACCTTTCTTGGGTACCTCGTTCCATTAATTTTCTGTTCTCACCCAACTGCAAACATTTGTTTTCTCCATTGGCTCTTACCCTTAAACACGTAACAATACTTACCTTTTTTTCTATCTTAAAAAAAAATCTTCCTTAACTATATCACCCACCCCACCCTCTCTTACTTACTCTCTTCTCAGCCAATCATTTGCGAAGAGAAGCTCTCAGTTGCTGTCTTCACTTTCTCACCTTCTGTTCACTTTTTCTTCTTCTTTTTTTTAATGTATGGACTTCATTTTTCAGATTTATTTTATTTAAATTTATTTATTTATTTAATTTGACAAGAGAGGTACAGAGAGAGAGAAAGTGGGAGAGAGAAAGTGAGAAAGCAAGCTGCCAGGTCCAGGACTCAAACTGTGGTGGGCCATGTGAGAGTTCAGCACCCTTAATCACCACACCACCTGCCAGCCCCGCTTCTGTTCACTTCTTTATCCACTCCCTCGCTACAGCTCGTGCACACACATCCCCCGTCACCGAGTTGCCATAGCCAATGGCGTCCACAGCTTTCCTGACTCCTGGCAACATTTGACTCGGTTCATTAGGGTATTATGAACTCAGCGCTTACCAGTGGGTCATTGTGCTAAGTGCTGCCATCACAGAAATGAGAGGCAGCTGCCACCCCCATCTTCAGGGGACTCACCTGATCAGCCATACTTGATTAACACACTGCAAAGGTCCCTTGACTTCCACTGTGCAACTTTGCAGCCTTCACTCAATGCCACTTAAATCTCATTTCCCAGGTCACCTTGCTACCCACTCCTTATTACACACGTCTTCTCAAGTCAATCACTTCTCTACCCAGGGCTTCACTTTCTATGCATTCTGATGACAATACAGTTTTAAACGGTGATGACATTTAACATCTTAAAACCATAGATTCGAGGGCCAGCAGGTGGCATAGTGGTTAAAGCATAAGACTTTCACATGGCTAACAGCAATTTGAGTCCTGAACTGGCAGCTTGAAACTCACACCGGTGTGTATGCATGTGTGCCCAAAATCCTGAGAGGAGAATGGAGATGGGATTGCCGTCTGGCCACCCCCCATCCCCCAGGGGGTGATTTCTTACTTTTTCTCTGTCTCTCTTTGGTGAATGCACATACCCTATAACAAAAACCCCTCAAAAACCCCCCCCCCATAGATTTCAAGTTGCTCCATAAAAGTAATCACTTAAAAAAGTGATATGCCTTGCATGTACATTTTTAGGAAATTTCCTTATTACTCTTTTGGTTTGATTCGTATGTGTCTCTTTGCAAACATAACCTGGGATGTCGCAATGGACTTAGTTTACAGAGGTTTTGATCCAGCTTTCAACAGGAAAGCTCCATTTTGATATGTTGCTTAACAGCGTGAAAAACTGTCTTCCCCAAATCTACCCTTCCTTCACTCTGTCTAGGAGAAAGAGGCTGTAATCCACTCAGTGCCCCAAACCAGAACCTTAGCGGCTTTTTTTTTTTTTTTGGCCTCCTGCCTTCTCTCCCCCTCCATATCCCTACACATCCAATCACCAAGCACTTCCTATTCCATCTCCTAAAAGATCACAAATCTTTTCCCCTTCACTTCAGAGGCTGCCAAGAAAGTCTTTGGTTGAACCTTCACTTTCCCCCTAGTTGAAGATAAAGTCTCTTAATTGGTCTTGTGGCTTCCTTCAGCCTCTTCTTATTGTCCTGACAGAGTGACCTCACTACAAATGCATCTGACAGTGAAGCCTCAACTTTACATCACCCAATGGCTCTCAGATTTCGAGGATAAAGTGCAAACTCTTTACCTCGGGATCTACTTCTGGGACAGCTAGACCTGGTTTTGTACCCTAGGTTCAGCAGTCTGACTGCAGATAATTGAACTCTCTAAACCTTTGTTTTGTCATCTGCCTGAACTCACTAAGAGTTAGGACTGCTTCACCCATAATACAGAGCCTGACCTGTAAGAGGGACTTAATCAATGCTGAATGAAAGGAAGGCATTTAAAAATTCACATTGAGGGGTGGCTCTGAAACCTAGTGGTTAAGGGAGCTGGATCTCACCCAGATAACTATGGTTCAAATCCAGGCCCCAGAGCTTAAAAACATGGACACACACACACACACACACACACACACACACACACACAAGATCCCAACAGCATAGAGAGACGGAAAAAGGCTTGTCTGTGAACATGCTCCCTTGATGAGTGCTTTCCCTCTCTCTGTCTCTCTCTGTCTCTCTCTGTCTCTCTCTGTCTAAAGCATGCGATCTCTGGCAGTTAAAACAAAATTCACACTGGACAAATACTCTTTGAAAAATGACCTGATATGTAATGCCACTTTTTCCCAAGCTTGACTTCAACTTTTATTTTGATAATCACACTCAGGAGCTTATGGGGATCTAGACTACCTGGGATCAAATTCTGCCCCCACCCTGACCAATCATGTGACCTTGGGAAACTACTAAATTTCCACTTCTTTTGTAAGCTCTGTAAAATGTAAAACGGGATTGTTTTTGAGGGTTGACTATTTCGGTTGAAACCGTGTCTGGCAAATGTGCTTATCATTTTCATCTGATCAGGACCATAGTTCTTAATTTTGTATGAGAAAATCGTGCTTTGTGTGTTGTTATTAGTAAAAGGAAAATCTGGAAACTCCTGCGATGGAAGCTAAATAGAGGCGCGGAAAGGGTGCGTCCTGGTGTTTCAGAGCTGGGAGGGACTAGTTTGATCCCTACTTTACAGACAAGGAAGTGGAGGGGGTGACGTGTCCTCAGCTACAATTCTTTATTCAGAGTAGGACCAGGGTCCCGGCGATTGCTATGGTCAAGTTGCAGGAAAAAACTAACATTCACTGGAAAACAGGAGAGAGCATGTATAGTTACAAAAACGGTCAACAATTCTGGTGTAACTAAGTTCTGTGAGCATATGAAAGCTGTCAGAATCGGAGAAACCGAGTTGCTAACGGAACTGGCCGTTTACTAACAGGAGCTTTCTACAGAGGCCATAGCCTAGGACAGCCTCGAGCAACAACGCCCGCGGCGCTGTCCCAGGACCGGAAAACTCCCGGCAACCGCCGATTACCGAGGTGTGTAGTAGGCACTGT